TAGGGAGTGCTCCAAAAAGTGTTTCTAGATGAGTAAGTGAAAATAAAGAAGTTTGAGAGACGCTCCTCCATCCTGCCTAAAGGCTTCAATCTGGAGCCTAAAAAATATGCTACTTCAGTCAGTAGAAACGCCACCAGTTCCGCCATCATGTCACACACCTGGGGTTGGCTGCCCACCGTACAGATGGATAATTACCAATCTTTGTTCTCCCTCTTCCATCATGCAGCCCATCTCCTCCCCCAATTCGTTTCTACAGTGGAGAAGTTTGAAAAGCAGCAGCAGAAAATACTCTAGTTGGTCATTTCCACTCTGGCAAGACAGGAAAGGAAAGAATTAAGAGAAGATACACAGATTGTTCTAAATCCTAGAGCACTTGTTACAGGGTATCGATTCATGGTGAGTGGGTGTTGAATCATTCCAGACACAGAAGCAGCAGGCTCTTACAGATCTTCAGAAGGCAGCTGATTTGATTCTTCATGCAAACCTAAGGAGCGGTCCATGATGAAAAGAAAGTGGAGGTGAGGGGCAGGGATGAGAAGTCGAGCCTGCTCAGTTATAACTACTGTCAGCAGAAGAGAGCAATTTTGAATGTAAATTTGGGATTTGGACTAAATGAGTGGGTCTCCATCAAAGATGTCTGCTCTCCTCCCACATCATAGGATATTTGGCAACTGAGAGAGATTTCTGATTTTCAAAACTTGAGTAGGTGGTGGTGTGATATTGACATCTAGCAGGCAGAGGTCTGGGGTGCTGCTAAACATGTACAGTGCACAGAACTTCTCCAACAATACAGAATCACCGGGTACAACGCATCAATGGTGCCGAGGATGAGAAACCCTGGGCTAACTCAAAGCTTATCATTCAGAATTCTAGTCTTCCATTCAGAAAGCACTTATGAAGGGAGACCCAGGAGAGAGTCAAGCAATTTTGAACAAGCAGGATGTGAGCATAAAGAATTAAATGACACGGATCACCAGAGAGGTACAATCAAAGGTTCTCTCTCCCAGAGGTCAATCAATATTTCAGGCAGCATCCAATCATTCATTCAGCAAATAGCTAGTGAGCAACTACTGTGGCCCATGCACATTCTGGGCTTTGAATACCCTCACAGCTGGAAATTTGCAGAATCTCCAAGAATATTGCCAAATGGTTTGATTCAGAACCATGGAATGTGGATCTTGGAGGACTTAAGTCACTGAGAAGAGGAACTCAATCATTTTTAGCCAGTTGTTTATAGTTTAATTCTCAGTTGAATTAAACACACACACACACACACACACACACACACACTACCCCTCTCAGACCCACGGGCTTTTGGGATTTTTAAAAAACTATTCCCTATAAAAAGTCTTTTGCCTACAGTGAAATCTGTGGATCTCACCAGTTGGGTTGAAAGTGCTGAGCAAAGATAATTTCTATACTTCGCAACCACTTCATTTATCTTAACTACCACTCAAAAAAAGTCTAAATATGAAGAGGCTACAACTGAGTACTTGGTCATCTGAATTAGTTCTGCTACTACAAAAGCAACTGACACATTTCTCAAACAATATCGAAACTCAGTGTCAACTCCTACTGCAGGGAAATAAATATCCACCGAAAGAAAATGACACAACAATGTCAAGTGTAAGACTTGGAGCATCCCATAATTTGAGCTAGAGACTATCAGTAGAATAGTTTTTGTAATCATCATCTTTCCAAGTTTGCTGAGTACAACTATTTGCCAATAAACAAATTAACTGATACTTACAGATGGATAAACTTTTTGCATTATTATGTTTTGAAATTGGGTGGAAATGGCAAACAGCAAAAGCACTGCCCTAAAACCTCATTTGCTACATGAATAAAACAGTAGCTTTTCTATATTTAAACTTAAAATCCAATTAAATTATCAAAATGTCAGTTGTCACCTAAAGCATCTTATTAACAAGGAAATACCTTGGAATCAAGAATATTCCTCCTGACAGGAATTAAGAAAGTGGAGTGAACTGGTATTTTTTTTCCTTGTTAAAAGCATCATTTGTAGATTTGTCTGCTAATATTTATTCCTTCATTAAAGTCTCGGTATTTAATAATCCCATGGGTGGTACAGGGACTCATTTTCAACACGGTCTTTCCCTTGTGTTAATTATAAAGTATGTTTCTACCTAATACAGGCATCACTCTTGGAAGCTCCTGTCAACCCCTAAAGTCATAACCCATGATGATAATTTCCACAAAGCACACGAAACTAGCCACAAATACAACTATAAAGAGAAACCTTGCTATTACTTCAGGGACTAAAGACAGAACTCCATGAAGATGGCAATTTGTACGATTGTTTTTAGTTATGAAGAAAACAGAAACTGGAAAGAAGAAATAGAAATCTTCCATTTTCTAATAGAAACTTAGAAAGCAGAAATAAAAATTGAGTATCTTATCCACACCCACAGATCCACAAGAAAAATGGTTTCCAATGGGCTTTAATTTTCATTATCCTCAACCTGGTGTTTTTTCGCCAAAAAGAGAATTGGGATTTTTTTTTTTTTTTGCTTCCTTCTATTATCTAAAGCCAGGAGATCAGCTACCATTTAAGCAGCAGAAGGCAGGAGAGTGGAGGAGATGCAGATAATCTTTTCACGGTTTATATTGAGCTAAATGCAGTCATCACAGTTCTCTACAAACAAGCAAGGACATGAAAACAAAACATTCAAACCCTATGTTTCTTGCTGCAAATTACTTAAAACTAACCGGCCAACTGCTAGCATACTGCTGCCCTATCACTTGGACTTGAAGGTGTTAGAAATGAAGATAGACATATTCTTAGTGATTGATATGATGACATTACAAAAGCCTGCTCATGGTTTTTTTCTCCTAAACACCTAAAAAGTACGTTCTAATTTCAAGCAATCAAAGGTTGGGGAAAAAAAAATCTCAAAGCCATCATCAAGCTGTTAGTCTAATCTTCTATTACAATGAAGGAAATCAATGCCATTCTCTTATACTGACTGAGGTGCAAGACAGCAATCTCTTTCGCTATGTCAGATTACAGTGATGAGACCACTTCATTGTGGTTCATTTATAGATATTTAGAGTTTGTTGTGGCCAACCTCTCTCTTCCAAGTGAAGAAAAGAAGTGTCCACCAGCTTAGTCTTGGCCACACAGGTAGTATCTGTGTAACTGATCACAGCATGGCCATAGCCAGCAGCTGGGGACCACTGGCAAGGAAGTTCCAGCTGCTTCCCTGGCCCCCACCATTCCTCTTGCAGGCACCAGTGTCAATATCTGGAATGATGGATTCAGAACCTCCTCAACTCAGACCCAGAAAGCCCTAGGGCCAAAGGAGGAAATGAGATAGAAAATGAAAATAAAGGTCCCATGAACTATCTCCTGCCATCAGTGCCTGGGAGATGGCCACCCCCCGCCCCGCCCCCAGACTGTTCTCCGTTGAGCCAGCTGAGCCCAGACTCAGGGCCCAGTAACACTTGTAGATGCACGGGGAACTACACAATGCAGGGCTCTTGGCATTTCTGATGTGGATCTACTGCCCCTCCTATATGGTGACCCCGTAGGACAGAAACGCCTGGGGGAGTGGGTGCAAAAGAACAGACCAGACAGTTCCGAAGGTCCTAGAGAACCCCATCTCCGGGCCTCTTGCCCAAATTTGCAAACTAGATTCTGTTTCAGCAGGCAGGGCAGGAGGGGTCGCCAGGACTTGTGAACTCCCCAGGCTGCGGGACATCCATCTGTGGGGGGGGGGGGGGGGTGCACCGCCAGGCGAGCAGAGCGGCGGGATGGGGGTGGGGGCTCTTACTTTTGTAGCTTGTTGCCCAAGGCTGGTAGCCATAGTAGCCGGTGATGCGCAGAATCCGCTCCTCGATGGACGTGAGGCCCACGGGCCCACTGGTGAGGTCCTCCACCGAGCGCGACCATTTCAGATCCTCCTTAATCGCCTCGTCCACCACCAAGTACTTGAGCTGCCGGAGCTGGGGGCTGATGTCCGACAGTCTCCGGGGGCTGACGTCCGGTGACCTCCTCATGCCACTGAGGCCGCATGCAGGGCGGGCAAAGGGGCAGCAACGGCAGAGAGGAGGGACTTGGGTGAGGAGCACAACCGAGGGCGAGCAAGGACGCAGCCGGGCCCTCCAGGGGCGGGTGCCACCGCAGGGCCGGGACTGCTCCCCTCCCACCGCTGCCACCCGCCCCAGTTCCCGGGACAGCCTTGGCGTCCAGTCCCGTCTCCCGTACCCTCTCCTGGGCGCCTCGGGGCAGTGTGTGTCCTGGCGAGCGGCGTGGGAGAGGACGCCTTAAACTTCCCAAGCAGCCCCGCCGCGCGCACCGCCCTCCCCAGCTCAGACCTCCAGCTGTCCCGATTGCCTAGGGCCAGCCGGCGTACCGGCCACCCGCCTCTCTCCTGCGCAACCATGCCCAGGACACTACTCACATGGCGATGCTCTTGCCCCTGGGTGCGCCGCCGGGAAACTCTCGGATACCCATAGGCAATAGCAGAGTGGGGCCGGGAGCTCCCAGACTTGAGGCGGAGGGGCTGCTGGGCCGGAGCTCCCTGCAGCCGCGGGCGGGGGCAGAGGTGGGCGCGATGCCCGCCGAGGGTCCTGGTCACCCCGCACCACTGGTGCGCGCCCGCGCGGTCTGTCCCCAAGCGCCTCCGCGGGCGTGCGGCGCTCGGCGGGAGCGGTGGCTCCACCAAGGGATTCTAGGCTGATCTGCGGCTCTTGCTGCAGCCAGCCAGGAGCAGAGGCAGTGCCTTGCCCCTCGCTTGTCACTGTCGCCGCCGCCCTGGCACACCCCACGGTCGCCGGTGCCGCGGAGCTAGGGAAAGCTCTTCCAGCAGCGCACTCTTCAGACACCTGGGCGGGCGGGGATGTGCCCTTCCCGGGCGCGTACGGGCCAGGCGGGGGCGCTGCTGCCCACTTTCCGCCGCCCGGTGTGTGCCGGGCTCTGAAGCCAACACGAGGAGTCAACGCCAGGCCGGCGAGTTCTCCTGGCAACCTTGGGGCTTAGGGAGCGCTGCTCCGTCCCTCTCCATGACTTGTCAAAATCTTACAACTCCTGGTTCAGTATTTCAATCTTTCAACCTCTCCCCCGCCCCCTCCCTCTCCGCACCCCGTCCGTCTGCAAAACTACTAGCAAGAAAGAAGCTTGGCTTGGTTCTCAGTATGCCAAGTAAACAAATGGCATTTTGTAGACAAAGCTGGGACACAAGTGAATTGATTTCTTTGGGTGATCCCTCAGTCAGTCCTGGTTTTCTGCGAGCTTACCATCCCCACGAAGGAGGCAATCACTGTCAGTTCTTTTCATACATTTCCATTTTATTTCGCTTCTAACTGTTGTTTGCCGCTCTCCGCAGACTACCTAATTGTTTTTCATTGGAGCAGATTGAGAAAGTAAAGAAATATGTGAAGAAGAAAATATCCATCATTCAGACCCAAATTACTACTTTGAATAATAAATGTAGTCCATTCTAGTCCTTTTTTCCAACACAGAATGAATGGTTTACACAAAATCAGAATCAAATGCACAGAGTACCGATTTTTATATTAAAATTATATCGTGTCAGAGCAAACTAAGAATGGGGGGGGGACTTCCTCAATTTGATAAAGAACATTTACAAAAAGCTATAGCTAACCCTATATTTGTAGTGAGAAACTAGAAACTTTCCTACTGAGATCAGGAACACAGCAAGAATGTGATACACTCCTTTTCCACATCTATTGTTATGTTTGACTTGGCTAATGAAATTAGACAAGAAAAGGAAATTGAGAAAGAAGAAGTAAAAGAAAGAAAACTATCTTGGTTCACAGATTCAAATTGAAAATCTTAAATAATTAGCAAATAAAAAAAGCTCTCACGGAACGAATGAACAAGTATATATGAGTAGTATGGCTGAAGGATACAAGTAAGTTTCCCTAACAAGGTCAACTGCTTTCCTATATTACCTGCAATTAATAATGGAATTTGGAATAAAAACAGCACCATTTTACATCATCACACCTAAAAATGAAATACATATGTATGTGTTTAACAAGATACAGACAACATTTCTATGAGGAAAACTACAAAAGTATGATGAAACAAATCAAGGAGCTAAATAAATGAGGAGATAGTCCATGTCCATGGAGAGGAAGACTTGATATGATGGTTGATTCCACAACTTGGCTATTATAGGCAAAGCTGTAATGAACTTGGAGTGCAGGTATCTCTTTGACATACTGATTTATTTCCTTTGGATAGATACCTACAGGTGGGATTGCCAGATCATTTGGTAGCCTTTTTTTTTTTTTTTTTGACAGGCAGAGTGGACAGTGAGAGAGAAAGACAAAGAGAAAGGTCTTCCTTTGCCATTGGTTCACCCTCCAATGGCCGCCGCGGCCGGCGCATTGCGGTTGGCTCAATGCGCTGATCCGAAGCCAGGAGCCAGGTACTTATCCTGGTCTCCCATGGGGTGCAGGGCCCAAGTACTTGGGCCATCCTCCACTGCACTCCCTGGCCACAGCAGAGAGCTGGCCTGGAAGAGGAGCAACTGGGACAGAATCCGGCACCCCAACCGGAACTAGAACCCGGTGTGCGGGCGCCGCAAGGCGGAGGATTAGCCTAGTGAGCCGCGGCGCTGGCCGGTAGCCATATTTTTAATTTTTTTTTTTTTTGCAGCATTTCCATTTAGTTTTTCACAATGCCTATACTAATTGATATTTCCATCAACACCATACTAAGGTTCCCTTTGTTTTTTTTTTTTTTTTTTTGGACAGGCAGAGTTAAACAGGGAGAGAGAAAGAAACAGAGAGAAAAGTCTTCCTTTTTCCATTTGTTCACCCCCAAATGGCCGCTACAGCTGGCACGCTGTGCCGATCCAAAGCCAGGAGCCAGGTGCCAGGTGCTTCCTCCTGGTCTCCTATGCAGGTGCAGGGCCCAAGCACTTGGGCCATCCTCCACTGCCTTCCCAGGCCACAGCAGAGAGCTGGACTGGAAGAGGAGCAACTGGGACAGAATCTGGCGCCCCAACCGGGTCGAGAACTCTGGGTGCTGGTGCCGCAGGCAGAGGATGAGCCTAGTGAGCTGTGGTGCCAGCCCAAAGGTTCCCTTTCACTATGTCCTCACCACTGTGTATTATCATTTTCATAATAGCCATTATAACAGGTGTGAAGTGATACTGTGATTTTAATTTGTCTTTCTGTAATGATTATTGATGTTGAATGATTTTTCACATACCTGTTGGCCACGCACATGTCTTCTTTGGATAAATATTTACTTTCTTTTGCCTATTTTTAAATTGAGTAATTTTTTTTCTTGCTACTGAGTGTTTGAGTTCCTCATATATTTTAAACTGTAAACTCTTATCAGATATTCATTTTGCTCATATTTTCTTCCATTCTGTAGTTTATCTTTTTCACTCTGTTGATTGTTTCCTTTGTTGTGCAGAAACTTTTCAATTGGATGTAATTCTACTTGTCTATTTTTGCTTTTGTTGCCCGTACTTTTGCAGTGACCTCCAAAAAAATAAAACTAAGAGTTGGTTTTCCCAAAAAAATCAACAAACTTTGGCTGGACTCAGAAGAAGAGAAGATTCAAATAAGCAACAATACAAATCAAAGAAGAGACATTATAACTGATACTACAGAAATGCAAGGGATCATCATCAGACTACCATGAACAATTATATGCAATAGTGGAAAACCTAGAAAACAATGGCTACACCTCTACACTCTACCAAGACTTAAACATGAAGACAGAAAATACAAAAAGACCTAAAATTAGTCAGCAGATTGAATCAGTAATCCAAAACCTCCCAACAAAGAAAAGCCCAGAATCTGATGGCTTCCTTGGTGAATTCTACCACATGTTCATGGAAGAATTAATGCCAATCCTTCTCAAACTATTCCCAAAAATGGAAGAGAAGGGAATAGTTCCAAACTATTTTTTGAAAGGCTGACATTACTTTAATACCAAATCCAGAAAAGGAAGTTATAAGAAAAGAAAATTTTACAAGCCAATATCTCTGATGAATATAGATTCAAAAATCCTCAATACCAGCAAGTCAAACTTAAGAGTATATTAAAAGACTCAAACAGCTGGATCAAGTGAGATTTATCACTGAGATGCAAGTCTGGCACAACGTGTGAAAATCAACAAATGTTATATATCCATTAACAGAATGAATGATACAAATTCTATGACCATCTCAGTAACTGTAGAAAATACTTAACAATATTCCTCATTCTTTCATGATAAACACTCTCAATAAATTTGACATAAAAGGAATATGCCTCAACATTCTTAAGGCAATGTGTAAAAAAGTCCACATTTAATGTCATTTTCAGTGGTGAACAGGAGAAAACATCTTCCATCATATCAGGAGAAAGAAGGATGCCCACTCTCTTCACCTCTATTCAGCACAGTAATTGACATCCAGCCAGATCAGTACAGAAAAAAAAAAAAAAGGAAAAGAAAGAAAAGCCATCCAAATTGGAAGACAAAAAAGTAAAATTGGTTTGATTTGTTTTTGCAGTTGCCATGATCTTCTATATAAAAATTCTAAAGACTCTACCAAAAACTGTTAGAAACAATAACACACTTATAGACCAGTGAAACAAAACTGAGAGCCCAGAAATAAATTAATGCATTACAATCTCTGACAAAGGTACCAATAATACACAAGAAAAGGATGATCTCTTCAACAAATGACATTGAGAAAACTGGATATGCAGAAGGCTGACATTTGACTCATTTCACACATGCACCAAAATCCCTCACATAAAATGGATTAAAGACTTAATTAAGATCTGAAACTATAAAATTCCCAAAAGAAGACATAGGTGCAAATGTGATATTGGTCTGGGCAATGATTTTTTGTATAAAATATTTTTATTGACTGTATTACTTTATGGTTGTTCTGATCATAAAACTATAAAATCATTATTAAAAAGTAGTAATAACCAGGTATATAAACAAAAATTAGGATCTCTCATAATTGTACAAAATGTTCCCTTTTTGTGAGAGCTTTGGGTATAAGGTGTTCTCCCTGGATGTCTGTGTGTGCACACATGCATGCATGCGCACCCAATCATATGTATGTCAAAAAGCTTTCTTCTTGGGACGGTGTTATAGTGCAGCGGGTTAAATAGGCACTTGGGATGCCAAGGGACTCCAAATCTCATTAAGTTGGTTGGTAATAATGCCATCTTAAGTGTTAAAGTTATCATATTAAGTGTGTAATTGATCATATAGGTAGGATTAAGTGTTAAAGGGATCATATAAATAAGGTCAAGTGTCTGGTAATAACAATAGATAGAATTAAAAAGGTGAGAATGTTCCAACATGGGAAACAGTCCACAAAGCAGACTCAAAATGGCAATCACTCTAAATAGCTCTTTGACCTGAGAATCAACCCTTACTGCATTCTGGTCTGGCTGAAAAGCCTATGAGAGCATTTCAGGCATGGAATGCCAAGACACTGTGGCAAAAAAATTGTCCCACATGAAGGATGTCTGTGAGTGAGACCCCAGTGGAAAGAAGTAGCCATCAAAGATGTACCTTTCTATGAAGGAAGGAGAGAACTACTCTGCTTATGGCCTTGTCTAAATACTGACAGAGATTGTGGATTCAAAAGGCTTCCATAGCCTTGGCAGCTCATGTCAAGAGCCTCGGGTGGTCACTGATGTCATAGATAGAAGTGTTAATTGTTAAATTAACAATAAGTGTCACTGTGCACTTACTCCCCATGTAGGACCTCTGTCCTTAATGTGCTGTACTAGGAGAATTAACTGTAAAACTTGTTCTCAGTTTTTTGTATTGTGTGTGTGTGTGTTCAAATTGTTGAAATCTTTACTTAGTATAGAGTTGGTCTTTTGTGTATAAAGTTAATTGAAAATGAATCTTAGTGGAGAATAGGACTGGGAATGGGAGCGGGAAGAGGAGGTAGGGTGAGATTGGGGGTAGGAGGGTGGAAATGGTAGGAAGAATCACTATGTTCCTAAATTTGTACTTATAAAATTTGTACTCATT